AATTCTTAATTGCCATTTCAGAAATTAAAAAAAAATATTTTTTTTGTTACCTCTATGACTGATATCAGTGTACTCTGCTTTAGAGCAGCTTCTTGTCACCCCCAATTTAGATGGGCTTTAATACTTGGCCCTCTCATTTACAATTTTGATGACTGGACATTTTAAGTGGCAAAATCTGCACCCATTTCATGAGCCTCGGTGCAGGCTACTTCTGCTGCCTGCCAGCTGCCTGCAATTTGGCAGTTCAAATCCCACCAGGCTCAAGGTTGATTCAGCCTTCCATCCTTCCGAGGTGGGTAAAATGAGGACCCAGATTGTCGGGGCCAAGATGCTGACTCTGTAAACTGCTTAGAGAGGGTTGTAAAGCACTAAGTGCTATTGCTATTATGTAAAATTCTCAAACCACCTCCCAGAACAGGCTCTGATGCCATCTATTTTTGGGGCATGCTTGCCTTTGACATGCAATCAAAACCTGGCATAATCCTTGATTGATGGAAGTCCCATAAATCTTTTCAACTGAAACTAGCATTAAATTGCAACAAAATAGTATGCCATTTTTTTTAAAAGGGGGGCGCTGAACTATTTAAATGCAGCTAATGGCATGTTATAAAAATAAGTATTTGCTACCTCCATTAATACAATGTGAAGACATCTCCCAGATGAGGTGAACAGATTGACTGGGGATGATGGAATTAACATCTTTCTACCCCATATTAAATCTGAATGTATTTTATTTTTATTTATACCCTAAAAATTGTACATATTTATTTATAGCATTTGTATGTTGACGCATTCACTATGAGCTTCTGGCAGTTTATTTCAGAAATCATCCTTAGGAAACCAATGTACACTAAAGCATCAGAGATGAACTAATTAGTGCATTAATAAAATATATAAATATAATATATAAATATATTAATAAAATATAGTAAATAATTAAATAACAGATATATTGTTTGAATAAAACCCCAAATGTTTGTTGGAAAAGCTTGTTTCTCTAAAGTAACAGTTCAAGTCCTAAGTGACCAGCAAACGGAGGAATCAAGAAATAAGAACATCTTTGGATGTCTGAAAAGATATTTATTGATGATGGGGTAATATAATGGAATTCTCCAGCTCAACCTGTACCTAGTATAATTTAGGCATAGGTATTCAGAGTCTCTTTTTCATGCTTCGCCCTCCACCTGGGCTCAGTTGTGTCTTTGGCAACACTCCTGTTTCTTCCATTCTGCCCACGTATATAAGATGTTGCAGTCCACAAAGGTAAGGCTAGACAAACCTCAAATGACACTCAATCACAAAATAAGCACTTCAACTAAAAAACTGTAGGCCTCTTTTGCCTCACCTCATGGAGTAGCAACAGGCAGCTTCTCCCAGTTTGATTGTATTAGGTAAGAGGTTGAAGAAAGCAGCTCTTCAGCAGCTTAGGTGCTAACCCACATAAAGAACTTGACAGCATGCCACAAGCATTTTGAATTGTGTGTGAGAACCTATTGGTGGCAAATGTAGGGCTCATAGTACAAATGTATGTGCTTATGATGATGAGTGCCTGGTTACAAATTAGCTGCTGTATTGCTTGCCAATTGGAGTTTCTGGGTGGCGCTATTTGGTTGGAAATCAAGTGATCCAAATCAATGGATTATGTGACCTGGTGGTGGCATGGAGATGCTGAAAAACATGGAGGGGAGCGGGAGAGGACTGAATTCAGGGCCCTTCATATGGGAGTGGCCATAGGGCCAACCATTCCTATACCGCCATCCCATGGAACTGTCTGCTAATGGAAGACTGGAAAGGCTAAAGAACATTGTAGCTCATAACAGCTGACAGGTTTTGTTGCACTGTGAGGTAAGGTAAAAGGTAAAGGTTCCCATTGCACATATGTGCTAGTCGTTTCCGGTCCATGTTTTAATATAATAAACCATAATATGTGGTTGGATTCCCACATAACAAAAAACCGAACCAACCATTGCAATTGCAGTTAGCCCTTTCCCCACTTTCATCTAACCCCGGATGAATTTCCTGTGGCAATTGTTTCCTCCTTCCCTGCCCTGCCATTTGGTTGGTGAAATCAGTTAAGCACCTTCAGAAAGTAGACCAGGGATGTCCAACTTTGGTAACTTCGATTTCCATAATTCCCCAGCCCAGAGATACGTTGAAGTCCAAAGGTCTTAAAGCAGGGGTCCCCAAACTTGGCAACTTTAAGACTGGTGGACTTCAACTCCCATAGCTGGCTGGAGAATTCTGGGAGTTGAAGTCCACCAGTCTTAAAGTTGCCAAGTTTGGAGACCTCCGTCTTAAAGTCACCATGGTTGGACTCTCCTAGTGTAGATCCAACTCTTCCTCTTTAGTCTCCTGCCTTTCAGGGCCATTCTCCTTTGATGGCGCAAGCATCTGGTTCTTTCCAAACAGCTTCTTCTCAGCCCAGAGATACTGACCAATCTGGTCAGTAGTTTATTTGTGGAGATAGGGGCTGCATAGGGAAAGAAAGAAGAGAGCCTATTTACTCTCTGCTACCTCACGTGCAACAAAACCTGTTATGAGCTACAACGTTCTTCAGCCGTTCCAGTCTTCCGTTAGCAGACAGTTCCATGGGATGGCGGTATAGGAATTGTCAGCCCTATGGCCACTCAGTGACCACACAGGGACCCAGTGGCTCAGTGACTAAGTTGCTGAGCTTGTCTATCAGAAAAGTCGGCAGTTCAGCAGTTCAAATCCCTAGCGCCGTGTAACGGAGTGAGCTCTCGTTACTTGTCCCAGCTTCTGCCAACCTAGCAATTCAGAAGCATGTAAAAATGCAAGTAGAAAAATAGGGAACACTTTGGTGGGAAGGTAACAGCGTTCCGTGCGCCTTCGGCGTTTAGTTATGCCAGCCACATGACCACAGAGACGTCTTCAGACAGCCCTGGCTCTTCGGCTTTGAAACAGATGAGCACTTTAACTCAATTGTGTGTATCTATGTGTGGCTGAATAATTATTCATAACTACTCTCATAAACGTTTCCATGTGCATATCCTTGTTACTCAAGGGTTATTCTGTACATATCATAACACATTTTCCTCCTTGTCACAAATGCTCTTGCATACCAAAATTGAGGCAGAGAAACACGCTGCATTATCAGTTAATAAAATAATGAGCCTAAGACAAAACATCTCACGTTTTTCAGCTGACTTTATTAAGTTTTCCCTTCCTCTGTACAGGTAGTCCTTGATTTACAGCAGTTCATTTAGTGACAATCTGAAGTTAACAGCCCAGAAAAAAGTGACCCATGACCATTTTGCACACCTGTGACGGTTGCAGCATACACATCATAGTCACATGATCAAAATTCAGACACTCGACAATTGGCTAATATTTATGGCAGTTGCAATGTCCTTGGATCCTGTGACCAACTTTTTGTGACCTTCTGACAAGCAAAGTCAGTGGAGAAGCCAGATTCACTCAACAAGCGTGTTATTAGCTTAACTGCAGTGATTCACCTAACCACAGTAGCAAGAAAGCTCGTAAAACAGGGCAAAATTCACTTAACAACTTTCTCACTTAGCAACAGAAACTTTGGGCTCAGTTGTGGTTGTAAGTCGAGGACTATCTGTGTTGAGAAACGGTACAACACTCTGTGTGATGTAGGAGTTATATAGCCACTTTCAAGCTAAGCAATATATTTGACTAGGCCTGGCGCTAGGACAGTTCTCTAAAACAGTGGTTGCCAACTGGTGGGCCGCAGACCACTGGTGAGCCACGAGAAAATTTTGGTGGTCCGCAGAGAAATGTCCCTCCCAAAGCAACCCCCAAAGCAATTAATCCAGTCTGTCTGTCTGTCTCTCTCTTTCTCTCTTCCCCTGAGAACGGAGCTGAAAAGCAGGTTAGTGAAGGAATGTGGCTGCCTTGAAGGGTGTGTGTGTGTGTGTGTGAGGGACCTCTGTGTGTGTGTGAGGGGGGGGAGAACATCACTGCCAGCTCTCCGAGGTTAGATCAGATCTCTCTCCCACCAGCAAGCCACCGTCAGTCAAAATTCATATTAGTGGTCAGCAGGATTTAAAATAATGAGTTTGGTGATCCCTGAGGTCCAAAAGGTTGGTGACCCCTGCTCTAAAATGTTACTGAATCAGCCAACAAGGAAAGTGAGACAAAGACAAAAGCAAATATGTTCTATTTTAACTAAATACCTCTATACTAATTGCTCTTGTTTTTATCTACTGCAATAATAAAAAAAATACTCTTGTGATGATAGTTTTGAAGGACCCTTTATGAAGGACTCTTCTGTTCATCATATCTGATCATACTGTACAGCCTAGAGGATTGATTGAGTGTGGGTGTCTGTTGTTAGGAAATAAAGGGAACCAGCAAGGAGTAATGGTTATCATACAGGATTTATTGTGGAGGGATCTGGATACAAATATACATTGAAATTGGAATTTCTCTGGGTAATTTTCTGTGGGCTAGTCATGGACTCCACACAAACTGGCACTGATGTTGAGTGGCAGACATTGGGTGAGTGGGAAACGAAGTAGAAGCACTGGCTTGAAATCTGTGGCAAAAAGGTGGAATGTAAAGGAAAGGAATACATTTTTTAAAAAAATCAACCATAATGTCGACTGAATAATTTTAGCCCTGTTATTTTTACCTAGAAGTACCGTGTTATGTAAGCCTGTGACAAATCTAAAGTTGAAACCGTTAAAATGGCAACGTGAACTTCTAAACGTCCTAAGTAAATGGAAATTCTTTATGTAGTATAGAAAAAAAAGAAACAAACCTAAAATATTTTTACTTAGAAACGTATCGACAGTGCAGATCCTGCTTCTAAGTAATGGTGTTTGGGGCTACTGGTAGACAACAATCATGGAGGCCTTTCAGTGGGACAACTTCCAATTTATGTGTGGTTCTGAGTTGTTTGAGGACTCTTGATCCTACTCTCGGATTTAAAGACCAACTGTATATTGTATCCAGATCTTTCTCTTCAAGGAAAATGCTGAAGTTGGAACTAATTCTTATTCTCCCACCAGGAAAGCACCAGCACGGTGCAAAATGTCCGCAGAAAGGTACAAGAGCTAGAAAGAGAACATAGTGGCTGCTCAGAAGCCTTGAGGAGACAGGCCAGCGAACTTCAGTTCGGTGCTGAGCGAGAGACTCGGCTTAGAAAAGAACTTGAGGTAAGAACTTCACCAAATAATGAGGCGGGTATCCGATGGCAACCTTCTGTTTTGTTCCTGGGCTTTGTTCCCTTGCAAAAGGAGCTGTTGATAGCGAGGAGACCTTGTCCAGGCCCTTTGGAGTAAAAGAGGATAAGGAAACACCAGTGAAAGGCCTAAAAGAAAGGAAAATACTTTCAAAAGCAGTTTCTTCCGTAATTTAAGTCAGATAAAGGAGGCTTTTCTCTTCTTTGCACAGCTTTGGCATAATGAGTTTCTAAATCCCGGTAAGAGGCCTTGGGCTTTGGCCAGAAATTTCCAGTCCCATGAGAGTGGATTTTTGTCCGCTTCAGTTCTGTTTTGCATTGTGTTGTACAGGTAGTCCTCAACTTACGACCACAACTGCGCCCAGAATTTCTGTTGTTAAGCAAGACATTTGCTAAGTGGGTGTCGACTCATAAAACATTTTCTATATACACGTTTTATAGTTGTCAACAGAAAGAAGGGTGGGGGGAGTTTCAAAGAGCAGGCAGCAGTGTGGAATTGAAAGTACATTCCATTCATATTTTCTTCAGAGACTGATTAGATGACTGAAGCTTCTGCCGGGCAAGAATCTAATTGGAGAACATGATTGATGACTCTTGGCTATGGTCGGGTTTCGTTGGAGAATATTAATTATGATACACTCAGAGGGGTTGGAGGAAAAGCAGGGTCAAGGGTGACAGTAAATTATGTGTCTCAGAGTCGGCTACACCCAGGTCATGCCAACATGTTGACTTCCAGAAAATCCTTTGAAGTTTTGGGAGTGTGGCTCGAGACTCACGATTTAATTGGGGTAACTGCCGGAATCCTGACAGTGGGTTTTGTCCCATTTGACAACCTTTCTTGCCACACAGTCCCTGCGGTTTGATAAGTGAGTAACCTGGTTGTTAAGTGAATCTGGCTTCCCCATGGACTTGCCTTGTCAGAAGTTCGCAAAAGGGAGGAATGCTGTGACCCCTGGGATACCACAGCCATCGTAAATGCGAGTGAGTTGTCAAGTATCTGAATGTAAAATCACACGACCATGAGAATGCTGCAACCGTCATAAGCGTGAGGTCGTTTTTTTCAGCGCCGTTGTAACGGTCGCTAAACGAACTGTTGTAAGTCGAGGTCTACCTGTACATCCAGAGTGTATCAGGTTGGGTAAGAATGCCAGGAATAAAATAGGGTAGATAAAGATCCACCCCAAATCATCAGTGTGCTATCACAACATCTTTTTATTTCGTAGAACACAAAAGAGGTTGCCCACAAGTTTGTTTGGAAACAATTTGCAGAGTCCGTGGCCAGCTTTTTTTTTTTTTTTTTTAGTGAGCAACTAGTTTGCTATGGCCTATGGCAGTGATGGCTAACCTTTTCCATGTTGCGTGCCTGCAACCATGATGCAATGCACGTGTGACTCCCCCGCCCCCTGCGCATGCGATCCCCCGCACGCCACGTACCTCTGCACATGCACAAACATCTCCCACGAGAGCGTCTCCCCCTGCGCATACGCTAGCAGATACTCGATACTTCCGGCACAGGTGCCATAGGTTCATCATCACAGGCCTATGGATTTACCCAGTTCAGGGATAGTTTAAAAAAAGAGCACAACAATTTAATAAAAAAACCTTTTTTATTATGCTAATGTTGAATTAGAAAAACCTTTAAAGTCTGGAATTACAAAGGAGATGAAATTAAATGGCTTGTGGGTTGTTTTGGTCAAGAGCGGAAAAGATTAGGCATTAAATAATAAATCCTAGCCATTTGAAATAGTTGTTGCCCAACCTTATGTGGAAAGTCCTCTAAATTATCCGAGAAGAGGATAATCTGAGTATTGGGTATTATTTTTCTTTTAGGTAATTAAGATGTTTTTTTAAAACATAGCACAGGTCAATCTGATACCAAAAGGAAATGTTGCTTTAGCGTTAGTGTTCCTATGGTGCCCTCTAGTGGTTTTTGAGGTCAATTGTAGACCATTTAACAGTAATCTCTGTATCCTTCCTTCCTCAATTTTTTTTTTTCAGCCTATACATTTTCAGACCCCCTTATCTCTATTAAAACCAGAAAGCGGCTGATGTGCAATTTGCACTTCTTGGTGTAAGGCCAGATTTTCACACTCTCTTGGCTTAATTTTTGCTACTTTTTCTTTTTTGGTTTTGTCATGTAGCTTTTTATTATCTATGGGCTTATTAAATAAACGTAATCCGAAACACGAGATGAAGGAGATCTTTTAAAAGTTTATGGGGAGGAGATAAGAATTTATAGTCTGAATAAATTATTAGGTTATTATGTTTTATGAATTGAGATGCTACCAGCTCAGTTATCTGGAACTGGAATCCTAATTTGATTTATTTACCTGCCCAAATCCTATAAAAGTGAAATGTGTTGTAAATAAAGAATACCCCTCCTGGCTACTAGACATTCTTTTTTACTGGAGTTAACACATGCTGCCTAACAACTTCTGCATTGACTTTATGGATAAGTCTTTATTTTTTTCTCCAGTGTCTTGATGTTGATGGTACCATTAGGTGCTGGAAGAAATAATGGGTCTTAATGTGTTTACACAAGTATGTTTTAACTGGTATAGATATTATCAGAATATAGAATAACAGAGTTGGAAGGGACCTGGGAGGTCTTATAGTCCAACCCCTTGCTTAGGCAGGAAACCCTACACCTTTTCAGACAAATCAGTGTCAGAACAGTTTACCCTTTTCTTTTAAAAGAGCTACTGAATCTTGTTTTTTTTTCCCCAAAGAAAAACTAGGAATAAATGTTTAAGCAATTTACTCCAGAAATGTGGATTTTTGTAGTAAAAGCCTCTTTATTCATTTGTTAGCTCCTGGCTCCTAGAACTGAAGACAAATTTCCTGACAGGGAGAAGTGGAAGGGCTTGCCTTCAGAAGTTGTGTGGGCTTCATCACTGGAGGCTTTTAAGAAGAAACCGAACAGCCATCTGCCTGAAATGGTATAAGGCAGGGGTAGGGAAACTTGGCTCTTTGATCACTTATGGACTTCAACTCCCAGAATTC